CTGGTTATATTTTCGCCTGTGTTTATAATTAGTGAGCGGTTGTGCACTGTATATTGTCTAAGGTTCCTGTGTGTTGCCCTGGTGAATGAAGTGTTACTCTCGTGGTGAATGAAGTGTTACTCTCCTGGTGAATGAAGTGTTACTGTGCTTTGGCCGTGTAAATGACTCGGGGTGTGTGGATCATCTACTGCTTGTGTGCTCAAGCGGCCGCTCAGGAAAGGCTGAAATTTTAAGTTTTGGACAGCGGTTTAGTGGCTCTGAAATCCTTCCCTATGGTGGCTAGTTCGTGGCTCAGTCGATAGAGCCTTCCTCTCTCATGTTCGAGGTCGCTACGGTGTGTATTGACCGTACTTTTGTACGGTCACTGGTGGTCGAGTGGTTATTAAGGTCTCCTGTACACCAGTTGCATAGTGCTCCTGGCAGTATGGGTTCGAGGCATTTCTGGGGTGTGGAGTTTTTAGTTGAATATAACATGGAAAGTATAATCGTGCACAGAGGTTTCCACAACAGGATTTCTCTCCACGGAATCACTTCCGCCCTCCACCCCTAACCTCTCCGGGGACCTGGCTGGTAGTGAAGTTATCCAAGTTACTGCAACAGATTATAACTGCGGATGTAGCAATGTTTTTCCTGTTGCGCCTGCTTTGGAAGAGAGAGAGAGAGAGAGAGAGAGAGAGAGAGAGAGAGAGAGAGAGAGAGAGAGAGAGAGAGAGAGAGAGAGAGAGAGAGAGAGAGAGAGAGAGAGAGAGAGAGAGAGAGAGAGAGAGAGAGAGAGAGGAGAGAGAGAGAGAGAGAGAGAGAGAGAGATTTCAGCCTGTTAACAGAAGGCAGCAGTCGCCTGTTCCTGTACCCACCTTCTGTAAACAAAAAAAAAAAGCTACGTAGATTTCAAAATCTACGTCACAGATCTAAGATTTCAAAAATATCTTATGCATAGTGATAGGGAGATATTTATCTCTATAAAACAAAATGTCTGTCTGTATCTGTCTGCCTAATTCAACTTTCCAGAGTGACACATGAGGGGCATGGGAGTGTCATAGACCAGTCGAGATTCTCTCCTATACAACATTTTAAGAAATATCAACATCAATAGTGACATCTCAGATTTTCCTGATATGAAATCTGGGATGTGTTTTCCATAGAGTTTCGAGCATTTTTTTTTTTCAGTCGAGAGAACGAGAGAGAGAAGAAGAGGAGAAAGGTGGAAAGGTGAAGAGGTACGGGAGAGGAAGACGTAAGAGTGGGTAAGAGTGGGAGAGAGAGAGAGAGGGGGGGAAGAGAATGGGAGAATGGTTGTCAAAGTGATGATGTCGTATCTCTATTCATCATTCCAACCCATCCTCATAAAAACGATATTACTTAAAGTAGCTATTTTATAAACTGTACAAATATGTACTATTGGGCATCCCTCCCCCCAAAACAAAAAGGTTCACGTTTGGAATTACTGCATTGGCCCAAATAGCACTCTAAAAAAATGAAATATAACAAAACAGGGCAAACTTAATTAATCTGTCTAGCCAATCCTAGGCCTGATATACGCTATCTTAGGCCTAATATATATATATATATATATATATATATATATATATATATATATATATATATATATATATATATATATATATATATATATATATATATATATATATATATATATATATATATATATATATATATATATATATATATATTATTAAATATGACCGAAAAAGTAAGATTAATAATTCTAACACGAATTTTCTCAATCTTTCGTACATTACGCTTCACTGTTGGAGGTAAATCAAAAATCACTTCTCCAAAATTTATTTTTATTTCTAGTCTGACGCGACACGGGCGCGTTTCGTAAAACTTATTACATTTTCAAAGACTTTACAAATACACAACTGATTAGAACGTATCTCTGATTTTATATCTACATTTGAGTGAGGTGGGAAGGGTGATGTGGCATTAACACAAGACAGAACAGGAGGGGATATTAATAGGGTATTAAAAGTATCACACAAGACAGAACAGAAACAATGGGTATTGAATAGAAGTGTTTGTAGAAAGCCTATTGGTCCATATTTCTTGATGCTTCTATATTGGAGCGGAGTCTTGAGGTGGGTAGAATATAGTTGTGCAATAATTGGCTGTTGATTGCTGGTGTTGACTTCTTGATGTGTAGTGCCTCGCAAACGTCAAGCCGCCTGCTATCGCTGTATCTATCGATGATTTCTGTGTTGTTTACTAGGATTTCTCTGGCGATGGTTTGGTTATGGGAAGAGATTATATGTTCCTTAATGGAGCCTGTTGCTTATGCATCGTTAAACGCCTAGAAAGAGATGTTGTTGTCTTGCCTATATACTGGGTTTTTTGGAGCTTACAGTCCCCAAGTGGGCATTTGAAGGCATAGACGACATTAGTCTCTTTTAAAGCGTTCTGTTTTGAAATATAATGTGCTTAGGAAATATATATATATATATATATATATATATATATATATATATATATATATATATATATATATATATAATACCCTATTAATACCCTATTAATGCCACCTCTTGTTCTGTCTTGTGTTAATGCCACATCACCCCTTCCACCTCACTCAAATGTAGATATAAAATCGGAGATGCGTAAGTTCTATTCAGTTGTGTATTTGTGAACTAAAGTCTTTGAAAATGTAATAAGTTTCACGAAACGCGCTCGTGTCGCGTCAGACTAGAAATAAAAATGAATTTTGGAGAATTGATTTTTGATTTACCTCCAACAGTGAAAAGAAATGTACGAAAGATTGAGAAAATTCGTGTTAGAATTATTAATCTTACTTTCTCGGTCATATTTAATAATATATGTCTACAGGAAAGACTGCTACCAAAATATACTAATATATATATATATATATATATATTTATATATTTATATATATATATATATATATATATATATATATATATATATATATATATATATATATATATATATATATATATATATATGTCGTACCTAGTAGCCAGAACGCACTTCTCAGCCTACTATGCAAGGCCCGATTTGCCTAGTAAGCCAAGTTTTCATGAAATAATTGTTTTTCGACAACCGAACCTACCTAACCTAACCTAACCTAACTTTTTCGGCTACCTAACCTAACCTAACCTATAAAGATAGGTTAGGTTAGGTTAGGTAGGGTTGGTTAGGTTCGGTCATATATCTACGTTAATTTTAACTACAATAAAAAAAAATGACGTCATACATAATGAAATTGGTAGCTTTATCATTTCATAGGAAAAAAATTAGAGAAAACATATTAATTCAGGAAAACTTGGCTTATTAGGCAAATCGGGCCTTGCATAGAAGGCTGAGAAGTGCGTTCTGGCTACTAGGTACGACATATATATATATATATATATATATATATATATATATATATATATATATATATATATATATATATATATATATATATATATGTGTGTGTGTGTGCGTGTGTGTGTGTGTGTGTGTGTGTGTGTGTGTCTGTGTTCTATCCTAGGAGAAGAAATGTTCAAGTTGGATTTTCGTTTTTATCTTTCGTGCGTTTTACAAAAGTTCAAAACGCGAAACTTGTTGACGTCTACTGACAACTTGCCACTTGTCAATCATTAAGGCAAGTGAGTTGGTCGGCGCCTCACGACCTGAAGACACATATATGACGTACTTCTCTATTTCATAGAGCACCAGACGACTCAACACTTGTACCTCATTGTTAGCCACTGTAACACAGCTAGACTTGTGCTACGTATACTCCTCTAATAATTATACTATACGAGTCTGCTCAGGCCTATAGGAGCCTGCTCAGTCCTATAGGAGCCTGCTCAGGTCTATCGGAGCCTGCTCAGGCCTATAGGAGCCTGCTCAGGCCTATAGGAGCCTGCTCAGGCCTATAGGAGCCTGCTCAGGTCTATAGGAGCCTGCTCAGGTCTATTGGAGCCTGTTCAGGCCTATAGGAGCTCTCTCGAACTCTCCACCCCACTCAAGAAATTTTAACATAAGCTATTTCACCTGCTAAGTTAATACTTCGGGTTAACCTTAACGTCTGCAATGTTAATACGAGTAAATGTGGAAATACATGAAGCTTACTGTATATCTGACTGTTGATTGGTTAGTACCGTCGGTTCTTAAGGTAAAATCAATCAAGTCCCATATGGAACGGATGCCCTGTGTAGTGGTGCATGGGGGCGCTACCCAGATGCCCTAGGGTAGTAGTGCATGGGGACGCTACCCAGATGCCCTAGGGTAGTGGTGCATGAGGGCGCTACCCAGATACCCTAGGGTAGTGGGTAGTGGTGCATGAGGGCGCTACCCAGATGCCCTAGGGTAGTGGTGCATGGGGACGCTACCCGGATACCCTAGGGTAGTGGTGCATGAGGGACGCTACCCGGATACCCTAGGGTAGTGGTGCATGAGGGACGCTACCCGGATACCCTAGGGTAGTGGTGCATGAGGGACGCTACCCGGATACCCTAGGGTAGTGGTGCATGCCCTAGGGTAGTAGTGCATGGGGACGCTACCCAGATGCCCTAGGGTACCATGAGGGACGCTACCCAGATGCCCTAGGGTAGTGGTGCATGAGGGCGCTACCCAGATACCCTAGGGTAGTAGTGCATGGGAATGCCCAGTATAGTATCATTCTGGTCAATAAGGTCATCACACCCTCCATTAAAAAGGACCGTCAGCATTACCAGGTTGAGTCAACTGGACCTGAGGTGAGCCTCACCAGCCCCACAAAGAAGGGATCAAGACGGTCCTCCGTGCGCTGTCAAGATGCACGAGGCCCGTCACACCTCCTCCAGAAGCCACAGATCAACAGGCAGAAAAAAAGGATTAGCCAAAAAAATAATAAACACTAAAACCTACAATGCCAAGAACCACAAATATATTATAATAAAAAAAGCATAAACACGCGCAATGATTGTATAAAAAAACACATAACAAACATAATCTCGAAGAATGCCAAGATGCAGATAAAAATTATCCAAAAAGAATCAAAAGCAAAAAAAAGAGGATTGGACCAATCCTCGTAGGAACCGATTGCGTGCAGAGAGGTTTGGGGTTGAGAGAAAGAGAAAGAGAGAGAGAGATAGGCCTACCTTAGCGGACAATACGTTATTGTTATTGGTCTGAATCTGCCGCATACTGTCCCAAGCCTCGGCCTTGGCTTGAGTCATTATATCCGAGACGAAACGACGGACGATCTCCATCAGCCGCTCGTCAGGGCGGAGCTTCTCCGTCTCCACCAGCGTCACCTGCGGGGTTAAGGTGCCTCTGAGGTGTTAAAACACATGGGGTCATCTCAGGTGTTGAAGGCCGGATCATCTCAGGTGTTTAGACCGCAAGGCCAAACTCTGGTGTTTGAACACAAGGAGGTTATCTCAGGTGTTTGAACACAAGGAGGTTATCTCAGGTGTTTGAACACAAGGAGGTTACCTCAGGTGTTTGAACACAAGGAGGTTATCTCAGGTGTTGAACACAAGGAGGTTATCTCAGGTGTTGAACACAAGGAGGTTATCTCAGGTGTTGAACACAAGGAGGTTATCTCAGGTGTTGAACACATGGAGGTTACCTCAGGTGTTTGAACACAAGGATGTTATCTCAGGTGTTTGAACAACACACCACTAAGGGGCCGGTAGTTATTCATTGACTGCTAGCTATTTGCAGGTAGCTACTTATAGATAAAGCCTCATACAAGTAGCTACTTATGTATACAGCTTCATACAAGTAGTTACTTATAGATACAGCTCCGTACAAGTAGCTACTTGTAGATACAACCTCATGCAAATGGCTATTTATCGATATTACTTTAAAGAAGTTATTACTTTCAAGCAACTTTTTATAAGTACTTACAGTTATCTATTAATATAGAACTTCTTAAAAAATAGGTCCTTACAAAAAAGCTACCTATATGTTGCTACTTAAATGTATAGGTACGTAAGTACTAATGTTACTTAAAGATAGCTTCTAACAAGTAGCAAACTGCAGAGAAATGCAACCAGGCAGTAACTTTTAGGTAGCTCCTTGCAGGTAGATGTTGATAGGTAGCTACTTACTGTTAGGTACTTTCAAGTAGTTACTTACAGGTAACTATTTATTTTCAGATAGCTAGGTAGCTACCAACTACTTACTGGCAAGTAACTATTTACAGTTAGCTACTTATATGTAGATACCCACAGCCAACAACGTGCTTATAAGTAGTCACATGCAAGTAGCTACTTGAGAAAGCTACTTACAGGTAGCTGGAGCTAATTTATAAAGACACTGGTTAACACAAGTAAGATTAGGTCCAATTTAAATTGGGGTTAAAATGATTTATTGTAAGTTTGAGCTTTAATCTTGTTAAACAAGCAGGATTAGAAATAGTTTCTTCTAAGTGTGTTACAGCCCATCCTCCTTTTTTGGTAGTACTTATAGTAACGATAAGGACCATAGTATGTATATATATGCAGGCGATGAGTCACAATAACGTGGCTGAAGTATGTTGACCAGACCACACACTAGAAATTGAAGGGACGACCATTCCTTTTTGAGAATGGTCCAGGACGGACCGAAACGTCGTCGTCCCTTCAATTTCTAGTGTGTGGTCTGGTCATCAATATGTATATATATATACCGACGTACAACGAAATTAGAAAATAGAAATTTGAACTATTGAGTTGGACAAACCGGAAAACTATTTTTTATTTGTGTTGCATTGACAAGTTAAACTAACCTAACATAACCTTCCTAGGCCTAATACACGATATTTGAGGCCTAGTATAGTACATATGTGTGCTATACTAGGCCTTGGAATATTTAACTTAATTTGTTAGCTTCATTTTGTTTTTAAGAATTCCTTACTAGTCAGTATACTACTATCTAAAAACTATGTACGTACGAATTCGTGACTATTGACGATTGGTACTATTTAAACAAGATGGGATGTTGTGATGGATAAACTTGCTAGACAAGTAGGATTATCAGTGATAATATTCCTGAACAAGTAGGATTACAAGTGTTGACCAGACCACACACTAGAAATTGAAGGGACGACGACGTTTCGGTCCGTCCTGGACCATTCTCCAGGACGGACCAGGATTCTCCAGGATTACAAGTGATAATCTTCCTGAGTATTTGAGTACTACACAGTAAGCTCTCCCCCCATTCCCCCTGCAGGGACATCTTACGGGCTATTCATGCCCATGCCACCTCTTGCGTGGCTTAATCTTCATCGATCAATCAATCGGGGACATCCACGGTTCCACGCGGTCACGCAGTGATGTGACGGACTAGCCAGTTGTGAGCTGTGTGTGTGTGTTTGTTTACCATTGACCAGCCTGGAGGGGGGTAGTCTGTCTGTCCCTCTCTACTAGTACGTCGCGTTTGTACGCTATGATAACCAACGCTATCAATCCAACTTGCTATAAAAAGTAAGGACTCCCAAACATCTACGCTTTAGATGTATCGGAGTGATAGGTTAAGGGGGATGTTTGGGTTCCGATGTTTCTGGTTAAGGAGGTTGATTTTGTTTGTTTACAGAGTGGCAAATCAAGAGCCTAACCCGATTGATAAAGATTAAGCCACACAAGAGGTGGCACGGGCATGAATAGCCTGTAAAGCCTAACCCAGTCTAACACTATTACTAATCCTGATCTAACCTAACCTAACCTAACCTAACCTACCCCCGGGGGTGAGCAACCCTTGACACACGTGTCAAAATGGCACGCCAATTACTTTTTCCGCCACCAGAAAAATGTGCTGGAAAAAGTCATAAGGCTCAACCCTGCAAAAAGAATTCAATATCCAGCTGCTTCGCCCAGCTAGCTGTATATTTTAACATAATAAAATACTATTTTATTAGTATTGTATTTTATTAGTATTTTATTAGTATACCATTACGCTTCTTAATAAAATACTATTTTATTAAGAAGCGAAACAACAAATAAAAATACAACAAAATAAAACAAACAAAAACCACTATTATAGTAATAGTAAGTAATAAGAAAAAGAAAGAGATAACCTATTTTCAAGCCATATATTAACATTATATCGTCAGTATGTCGGCAATATATACTGATATACAAGTTTTATACAAGTTGTCAGTTGTTGCATCATTCGACATTAAAATTGCGTGGCTGTATATTGCAACGAGAATTGCACTTTAAGGCTAATCAAAAATATCCACACTATCAAGAGTGTAGCGCGACCTTTAAGTAAAGATTCCGTCACTAAATCTTACATCCATGCAGTCTTACGTGACTTTCAATACTCACTCCTGGAATATTCTTAGGTTTTACCAAAGAAAGAAGCAACATAATTTTGCGTCAAAGATTTGGCGATTTTGGGTTACTCACCCCCTAACCTAACCTAACCTAACCTGACCTGACCTGACCTGACCTAACCTGACCTGACCTGACCTGACCTGATGTTTCGTGATAGTTATTGGTGCACAGTGCCAGTACACGATGTACAGTGCAAATATATAAAGGTAAGGTAATTATCAGGAGAAAGCTCTGAGCCATTACAGTCATATAGCATTACAACCATATATAAAGGGATATAGGATAAGAGACCCCCCATGTCAGCTCAGGTTATATCCATCGGTCAACACAAGATTAGTGACGTAGCCATATCGTCACGGCCCACGTCACCTAGGATTGGTCTAGAACTGATTGGTCTAGATTAGCTACCTCCACCAGGGTAGCTAATCACTGATTGGCCCTTCTTAGTAACTAAAAACTGAATGCTGACTATAGAACTCACTTGTTGCATCAAGAGCCAGCATTTCAGCCTTTAACGCCGAAAATAGGAGCCACTGACTGTGTCTTAGCCTCTGAATACACGGTGACAAGGGACACCATAAGAAAGATTGATTGATTGATTGATGAAGATTAAGCCACCCAAGAGGTGGCACGGGCATGAATAGCCCGTAAATGGTGGCCCTTTTGAGCCATTACCAGTATCAAAAGATGATACTGGAGATCTGTGGAGGCGCAACTGCACCCTGCGTGACGGGAGATGTCTCCCGGACCAAATGGTGACCAAATGGTCATATATAAGACAGATGTAACAAGGGGCAGAATATAAGGCTAGCATAGAGGAGAGGGGAATACCAGAAGGTCAGAGGATTCCTGGAAGGGGGATAGAATGAGGAAGAGCACACAGGAAAATCCACACAGGACATGGATGGACTATGTAACGGACAAACTCTAAGAAGCCGCAGAAAGATTCATACCACCACTAAGAGTTAAGGGTAAGCAAGACGAATTTTAGGCCATGGTTCAACAGCCATGGCTGTTGAACCATGGCTGTTCAACAGCCAGTGTCGGAAAGGAAAATGAAGAAGCAAAATGAGCTTGGATGAAACAGAGAGGACAGAGAACAGAATGAAATCATAATACATACAAGGTGGCTAAAAAAATGAGTACACAGACATTAAGAGAGTGGCACAGAAGCAGCAGTTAGAAAATGATATTGCAAACAAGGTTAAGACCCAACCAAACCTGTGCAATTGACATATCCGGAGGAAGATGATTGTTAATGATCAGGTTATCGGACTTGACAAAAGTGAAGGAGGACACACGGAAAATGACAAGGAGGTATGCGAGGTTCTTAACACAAGCTTTCAGGAAGTATTTAAGCTGGAACCTGATTTGCTACTAGCGTTTAGAACCCAAACCAAAACGGACAATTTCACAGGAAAGTTTCATGGAAATACCAATGAAACCAGAAGATAAAGTGACCATGAGCAGAAAGAACAGCTCTTCCTGTTAGTGGCCACTGATTAGAAAACACCGTTAAAGTTCTTAGGCCATCAAGTTACGCTTCAGCATCTTTATTCACCGTAAATACCCTGCAAGAGGCCAGAATCCTATTGTGCTGTTATTTCGACAAATTTAGTGAATAACTGTAGCAGATACCACGAGGTACCTCCAAAAATAACAGGATTGTGAGAATGTGTACCACTATGATCCTGTTTTATCTAAGTTATCTTTATAGGTGAGATACAGAAAACTGTTCAACTAACAGCGTGTGCGAACGCAGGAAGTGCCACTTCCGCGAGCCTGCATTTGAAATGCTTTAAACGCTGTTAAGGGGAAGAACCAAGACTGTAGCTGCCACTCAGTGGTCCGTCACTTGACCTGCAATGAACCACCACTGCCATCACCCTCTGTACACCTGCCGCTATAGCTGCACCTGTGACAAAAGTCCAGCAATCAGTGATACCTGTACACCTGCCACGCCACATAGTGCAGTCCCTTGAAAGGTGTCTGCCTGCTAATTGCCACGTGTATGATCTGCATAGCTGCCACGTGCGGGGCACTGTTGAGACCCAGTACGTGGTTCTGGGAGACGGACTGCCCGACACCAATGTATCAACGTGGTGCCACGTCATGGGCGAGTGCCAAGATCATCTCGTGAGATCTTTTGCAAGCTGTATGGATGAGTCTATAATGTGAGTGTGTTGAGGGCCAGCTTAATGTAAGGGCAAAAATCTATTTATTTCTGTGTGTGTTTCTGTCTTTCTGTGTGCCAATTATCTATGATTAACCAGAGTTATTCGCCTGCTAGACGCCAGCAAGAGGTGTAGGTTCCAGTTAAGTCAGACCTGATGGTGAACACCTGATTGTCTGTGTGGTATGGTGAGTGTTGCACCTGTCAGAGTGTGCGCGTATCACGGTCAAGTTTGCTCCTGGTTTTGCTATATGTGCATGTGGCCATGACTGTCCATTTGACAGGTCATTAGTATGTTGATTGTGCATGCCATTATTTTCATTGTCTGAATATCCAGTTTTAAACTCCTCTGTTCCTTTACAACCCGGAAGTGTCGGGAAAGACGAGTTTGCAATCACTCACAACCAGTGACTGGTTGTTATAGAAAGTGGGAAAGCAGGATTGTTCATGAGTAGACCACGTGGTCGGTCAATTAGGCCTTCCAGTGTCTCTGATGCGATTTTAGCTTCGTCGAGGCCAATCCAAAGTAACATAAACACCCAATGTTTGCGCACGTTCACTCTGTAAACAAAAGTTATTTTAGTTTTATATTGTGTTGGCGTAAAGCCCTTTAAGTACTGCCTTTCACACAGGTACCTTCAGCTCTGGATTCATTTCGTCAGCCAGGTGTGGCCAAATGCAGCCACACTCGGCCTCTGCCAGGTCACCTATACCCCCAGCCTGTCACCCCTAACCCAGTCAACCACCACATCTCTTGTCTGTAATCCCTACTCCCCCCCCTTACACCCCCCCCCCCCCCCCCCCGAAAGCCAAAGCCACCCTAACCCCTCCAATTGTCCCAAATTACTCCACTGTGTTGTTTCACAACAAAATTACTGAAATCATTTAACCTTGATTAATCAAGACAAAGGGGGTGGGGAGGAAGTGGGAAGAGATGAAACAAGCTGGCAAAATAATCACCACCAACCCACTAATCTCACACTTAACAGAAAAAGTAAAAGTTTCTGTCACGCATGGTGGCCTGGGTATGGTGGCCTGGGTATGGTGGCTTGGGTATGGTGGCCTGGGTATGGTGGTCTGGGTATGGTGGCCTGGGTATGGTGGCCTGGGTATGGTGGTCTTGGTATGGTGGCCTGGGTATGGTGGTCTGGGTATGGTGGCCTGGGTATGGTGGCCTGGGTATGGTGGCCTGGGTATGGTGGCCTGGGTATGGTGGTCTGGGTATGGTGGTCTGGGTATGGTGGCCTGGGTATGGTGGCCTGGGTATGGTGGCCTGGGTATGGTGGCCTGGGGGTATGGTGGCCTGGGTATGGTGGCCTGGGTATGGTGGCCTGGGTATGGTGGTCTGGGTATGGTGGTCTGGGTATGGTGGCCTGGGTATGGTGGCCTGGGTATGGTGGCTTGGGTATGGTGGCCTGGGTATGGTGGCTTGGGTATGGTGGCCTGGGTATGGTGGTCTGGGTATGGTGGTCTGGGTATGGTGGCCTGGGTATGGTGGTCTGGGTATGGTGGCCTGGGTATGGTGGCCTGGGTATGGTGGCCTGGGTATGGTGGCCTGGGTATGGTGGCCTGGGTATGGTCCCCTGGGCATGGTGGCCTGGGTATGGTGGCCTGGGTATGGTCCCCTGGGCATGGTGGCCTGGGTATGGTGGCCTGGGTATGGTGGCCTGGGTATGGTGGCCTGGGTATGGTGGCCTGGGTATGGTGGCCTGGGTATGGTGGCCTGGGTATGGTGACCTGGGTATGGTGACCTGGGTAGGGTGGCCTAGGTATGGTGGCCTGGGTAGGGTGGCCTGGGTAGGGTGGCCTGGGTATGGTGGCCTGGGTATGGTCCCCTGGGCATGGTGGCCTGGGTATGGTGGCCTGGGAAAGGGTAAATTCTTTCTGAACAACTAGGTAACACAGCAGAAAAGAGTATAGTAGGTGTGAACATAGTGCCCCACAACAGAGGGTATAGTGGCCCTGTAGTGTCATCTTTCAGCGCTGTCTCGCCGCACTTGAAAAGATACAGTTGATGTATGTTGTATTTTATTTTCACAAGTGTTCAAATACATTTAGAACTCAAGAAACAAATTAGTAACTTTTTAAGGACATTCATTTAAAATCAATTTAACGATGCTCTTTAAAATGGATAAAGATAATCTTTAGATAAAGGGATCTATTGACTTACCTGCGTTAGAAAAAAAAGATATATATATATATACTCATCGCTAAAAGAACTAAAAGCTCAGTTGCAGAAACGAAAGAGTTTGTTTACCTTATCGGCGGCGGGAAGCTTCTTGGTGGCCTCCAGCTGCGCCCTGTTCAGTATTTCCATCACGAAGTGATTGGCCACGTCCAAGAGCTCGGGGTCGGCGGAGACTAGACAGGACGCCGCGCCCGTCTCCCTAGTCTGAGTACTGGTAGACAGGAGGCCAGGGTTAGTCTCTATGGTGAGAGACAGACAGACAGACAGAGATACTCATACATGCTCAACAGATACACATACACAGATTGGGATACATAGACATGCAGACAAACGTACAGAGGAATGAGAGGCTGAAAACAGGAGGGGGTGGGGGGGGGGGGATTGAGGATAAGGAGTTGGGATGGGACGGGGGTGGGGGGGAGGGATAGGGAGTGATGCCAAACTGCTTGGACGGTCGGGGATTGAACGCCGACCTGCATGAAGCGAGACCGTCGCTCTACCGTCCAGCCCAAGTGGATGGACTGAGGAGATAAGGAAAGAAGAATGAAAATACATTGATAAATTAAACAAAGACGTAAGAAGGTACAAATGGGCACTATAAGAGCAAGCAAACGTTGACCAAGAACGTCATACTGACGCACAAACACACGCGCACACGCGCGCACACACACACACACACACACACACACACACACACACACACACACACACACACACACACACACACACACACACACACACACACACACACATGCATTGATTCTGCATATACAAATGGTAAATACACGCATACGGAATCTGTACACCAGTAGGTTGACGGATGAGAGGCGGAAACCAAAGAGCCAGAGCTCAACCCCCGCAAGCATAACTAGGTGAGTACACACACACACACACACACACACACACACACACACACAAACACACATGCAAACGCACTCAAGGTTTAAGGGTATGCCGCCAGACTAGTACCAGAGTTGAGGAGGGGTATGAGCTACGAGGAAAGACTTCGGGCACTAAACTTCACGTCGCTGGAAGACAGAAGAGACATGATCAACACATACAAAAATATCAAGGGAATTGCTAGGGTCTGCAACGATATTATTTAGCACGGGTGGTCATCGCGAGACATTATAGGGATTTTTTTTCAGTGTCAGAGTAGTTAACAAGTGGAATGCATTAGGCAGTGATGTGGTGGAAGCTGACTCCATACACAGTTTCAAGCGTAGATATGATAGAGCTCAGTAGGCTCAGGCATCTGTACATCAGTTGATTGACGGTTGAGAGGTGGGACCAAAGAGCCGAAGCTCAACCCTCGCAAAAACAACTAGGTGAGTACACACACACACACGCACACACACAAACTCAGCCACAAACACACACACACATACACTCAGCCACGAAAGTACACACTGACCAACAAACACATTAAGCAACATATTTATGTTCAATAACATACACCATCTTACAATCACTTTGAGCAACAATCACACTTTGATTCATGAATATATGATCTGCGTCACACACACGCAACACCCCGAGCAACAGACAATTGTTTACACAACCCATTCTCAGGCGAGGCTCGTCCCAGCACCGCCCGACCCTATACACACTTGAACGCACTTTAACCTAACACAATCGACTTGAGAATGGTCCAGGACGGACCGAAACATCGTCGTCCCTTCACCTTCTAGTGTGTGGTCTAGTCATCATACTTTAGCCACGTTATTGTGACTCGTCGCCTGCTTACACAATATTTTCTCGAATATAATTTTATATTCATGAATATTGTAATTTTGTGTACAGTTAGGCCAAGGATAAGTTAGATGTTTTGGCTCCGTTAGAAAGTATTTAAATTATCTAACCCGATCATTAGACAGTTTTATCTAGTTAGACAGCTGCTACGGGCTGCTTCCTAGGGGTGGAGGCCTGGTCGAGGACAGGGCCGCGGGGACACTAAAGCCCCAAAATCATCTCAAGATAACCTCAAGATAACCTCAGGTCATTTACTTACAAGCGGCGGGCATCCCCAAATAGTTCAAAATAGATATAATGTTAGATTTTGTGTTTATGTTCTGTTGGCAATTCTTTTTATGTGTATTTAGGGAGTTGAGTCATTTACAGAGGTGCGATTCGAACAGAGGAAGTGAGGGAAGCAGCGTTTGAGAAAAGTTGGAACGCCATCAGTTGTGAGTCGTGAATAGGGGTGATTTTCGTTCATAAACAAGGGGAAAGGGGGTTTGGCTATGAGATTAACACGTACTTGGCCTTTGTTTAAGGGGACGTGCTGCATTTACCATCACAATGAGTGCAACATTACAGCCACACTCATGCACTCTGAACCACAGAGACACACTCCGAGACACTCAAACATTATGAGACCAATCAGCCCACACTCTGCCCTGCTCTGTCCTGGGGTCGACCCCAAGGACGCATCCATCCACCCGTCCTCGTCACTAAAGGCCAAATGGTCATTCCGGTCAACCACCAAACCCCGGTTTGTGAACGAAAACGCTTTACACACGCCCTAAACTACTGCCGGCGTTCGAACATTTCACGAATATTGCTTCGCTGACGACCCCAGTTCGAATCTCACCTGTGTAAATGCTTCGCCCCTCTTACTGCAAATACAAATACTTGAAAACAGAACAGAAACACCTAACCTAACCCAACTTACCCTAATCTGGACATAGCTCTGTATTAAATTATAATTTACAACGATACAATTTTGTACATGAGGAAAAAACACCAATTTGAGTGTACCGCTCGTTCATTTTGTGTTTTTCTTCAGAATCTGTCTGTTGGGGGCCGGCCGCTGTAACGAAAAGCGTCGTGCTTTGAGAATGGTTTGCTTTGAAACACTTCAAGAAACTGCAAGCGGGAAGCAAACAGTGTATGAGCAAAAATAAAGCTAACTGTAAGCGGATATTAAATACACACAGAGTTCAAAATACCTGTATATATTTACACACTCAAATATAGAATGTCGAATATGCTCAAATATAGGCAGTAACGCACTCTCGTCCTCCCCTTCTGTTGATCTCTTCCTTCTCTCTGATACTCTCCCTCCCTCCCTTCTGATCCTCTTACTCTCCTTCCTGATACTCTCACTCTCCCCTCTGATACTATCTCCCTCTCCTCTGATTCTCTCTTCCTTTCCTACAATACTCTCACCCCCTCCCCAGCTAATACTCTTTCCCTCTCCCTCCATCTGTCACTCTCTCCCTCCCTCCTTTTCTCACTTCTGACACTCTACCTCTCTCTTTTTGGCTCTCCCCCCACCCCCCCAGGTGCACTCTCATCTGGCTCCCCCCCACCCTCTCTCTCTCTCTCTCTCTCTCTCTCTCTCTCTCTCTCTCTCTCTCTCTCTCTCTCTCTCTCTCTCTCTCTCTCTCTCTCTCTCTCACTCTCACTCTGCCTGGCTCTCCCGCCTCACCTAGTGGGTGTGACGTTTGAAGTGAGGTTCTCTGACTCTGACTTAGAGCGTAGGAAGGAGGCGATGGAGGTCTCCATGTCTGGGTGGGCCTCCCCGTTCTCCATCAGGAGTCCCACATGGGAGGACGACCTTTTTGGGAGGGGGACACCAGGTCAAAGGTTAGGGTGATTTGAGTCCCCTGTTTGGGGGTACTTAAGGTCAAAGGTGATTTGTGACCCCTGTATGGGGGGGGTAATTCAAGGTCAAAGGTTAGGGTGATTTGTGACCCCTGTTTGGGGGTACTTAAGGTCAAAGGTGATTTGTGACCCCTGAATGGGGGGATAATGAAGGTCAAAGGTTAGGGTGATTTGAGTCCCCTGTTTGGGGGTATTCAAGGTCAAAGATTAGGGTGATTTGTGACCCTAACATGGCAACAATAGGCAAATTATGAGTATCTATATTTGATTTGTAACCCCACTATATGCGCCTATAGGAACACGAGGTCAAAGGTGAAGTTAATTAACTTACTTATAAAGCACCAAACTGAATATCTGCTTGATTTGTGGTCTTATGGGAACACCGGATCAAATGTCAATATAACAATTCACGATCCTTATCTGAAGAGCAGATCATAAATGATGTTCAATTATGTTCATTCTGGAATATACGGCCCAGTGTTACTGCATTTGATGAACACTCAGAACACCAGTCAGGAGACCCTTGTTTGTGGTCGAGGGGAGGATTGCAAGTTCCAGGGCCCAGGAATATTCAAGACTAAGAATAGTGAACAGGGTGTAAAAATGATGAACAGGGTGTGATAATAATGAACACGGTATAATAATAATGAACAGGGTGTGATAATAATGAACAGAAAGTAGTGATATTGAGCAGGGTGTAATAGTGATGAACAGGGAGTCATTATGATGAAGTGGGAGTAATAATGATTATAAGGGATAAATAATAATTAACAAAAAATAATAATTAACAGGGAGTAATAATGATGAATAGGGAGTAATAATGATGAATAGGGAGTAATAATGATGAATAGGGAGTAATAATGATGAATAGGGAGTAATAATGATGAATAGGGAGTAATAATGATGAATAGGGAGTAATAATGATGAATAGGGAGTAATAATGATGAATATGAAGTCATAATGAATAACAGGGAGTAACAATAAATAACAGGGAGTAATAATAATGACCCATATATAATAATAATGATGAATAGGGAGTAATAATGATGAATATGAAGTCATAATGAATAACAGGGAGTAACAATAAATAACAGGGAGTAATAATAATGACCCATATATAATAATAATGATGAACAGGGAGTACAAATCATGAACAAGAAGTAATGAAGATGAACAGGGAGTCAAAAAAGATGAACAAGAAGTAATAATGATGAACAGGAAGTATAAAATGCTGGCAATGCTAGCGCCTTCAACACCCGCATACAGTAAATTATGCTGCCCGAAATGGACTGTTTCTCACGAGCCTCTGAGACAACTTCGGTCACGCTAACAGCACCAATAAACACCAAAGTTATGTACCAGCCTTCAAAGGCACCTCAAGGTGACATTATGTGCCTCTTCCGGCAGAGAATAGCCGGACCGGACCTGAGAGGCCCAAAAGGAATCGCGCCGCGTGCAAAACTGGAGCAATCTTCGCCTCTGGCATGAGCACCCACCCACAGCGTGTGTGGGCGTGTGGGCGTGTGGGCGTGTGGGCGTGTGGGTGGGGGCAGACGCGAGCCTTCTGGATCCAGATGGGTCTTCTCCTTCTCCACCTTCTGACACGCAGCCACTGACCTTCAGCCTGAGATATATTGAAGTCATGGGTCATCTTTGATTCTGAAGGAGGATGATGATCATCATGTATCATCCGCTATTTTCAGACTAGATACGGCTTATCATTCTGGCTAAGTACATTTTTGTGTGTGTGGCTCAGATTTTGTTCCCTGTTTTATGCTCTTTTTTATAGATTTTCTCTGACATGTTTCTCTCTCTCTTCAGCTAATCTATCAGTGTAAATAATGTGGATTGTTTGATTATATAATCCACTAAGAGTTCCTGATTTTTAATATTCATCCATGTTTCTGTTATTGTAATAATACGTCTCCCTCTATCCACTACAGGCCACTTAATTCAGTTATATTTTAACTAATTATTCTGCCATTACTGTACCTTTAGAGTGTTTATATAGATTAATACTTCTGTTCCTCTCTGTTTTAAAATATCAACATGAGGATACTTTTTAAAATAATCAATAAAATTGTTATATTATGACCCCAAACATCTTAACACCGCTTTTCCATGCTCAATTTTCAGGTTTACGGTAGCCTTCCTGGCGGTACCAATCGTCAACCAGTTTACACACTGATAAATGTCTGCTGTTTCTTCTGCAGCAGCTGAGGCTGCCACGCCGCTCTGTGCAGCTGTGACCCATAGTGCAGCTGTACCCTATCCCGGGTGTACACTGCCTATATTGTTTGTCTGTATCCCTGCAAGTGTCTCGCTCACGCACGTGTACATGTGTCATGCCAACACACACACACAAAGGCGTATACACTAGGTGAAACTGGGTGCGTACATGTTTGGCTATGCCAAGGGTTACATACCGGTGCTCCTCTTGAAGTGGCAATATCAATTATGCCACAAAACAACAGTGATGGCCAATACAACTCGCTGGCCAGCTAAACCGACGGAAACAAGTGCATATACACCCTCACTGATCCGCCTACCTCGTACTCCCGTCTATCTTACTCACCGTCTGCTAATGTTGACAGGCAAAGCCAGACCTCCGAGACCCCTTACACCATCGCCTCCACCAGCGCCCCCTAGAAGGGGTGTCCGCTCGTCCAGTTCCCCATCATTCTCCTCCTCACCCCTCACCCCGTCGACCAAAACGACGTCGACGGGGTCGACGTCGATCAGAGGGGTCGTTTCCGAGTCTGGGTCGTCGTGGGTTGTGTTGTGGTGGTTGTAGTTGTAGTCCCCGTGTTGTTGGGGCCCCGGCGGCGTCTCCGTGCCCAGGGAGGAGTCTATCACGTCCTCAGGGTGTTCCCAAATTGGCGTGTCGATGGCTAGGACCGGATCTGTGGTAAAGAAGGAGGGCATGAGGTAGTAGAGGGCACTCTACCCAACGACATGAGTGGTGGGTGAGTAGAGTGGGTGATGGGGGGCAGGGGCACTCTACAATTGAAGAGTATTCTATACAATTTTAGAATTTACATACAATCGACTTGATAATGGTCCATGACGGACCGAAAAGTCGTCGTCGTCGTTCCTTCCTCTTCTAATGTGTGTGTGGTTTGGTTATCATAAGAATAGTCTGCATCCAGTTACAAAATACTCATAAATACATATTTAACTTCTACCGAAACGCGAGAATATATTTACATGCATTATAAAATATAATATACATATGGATTTTAACATAAGTCAATAATGATATCACAGGGACTGTGTGTTTATCCAAACACACAGCCATAAGTACGTTATTATTCCTTAAATGCACAACTTTACTTCCAAAAACAATATTTACCCAGCTCTTCACTGAATCTAAATGTCTCCATTTTATATCCATTGTTTCCAGTTCCCTTTTGTGTTGATATATTTATCACCACAATTATATCCCCCCCATTTCATCCCACTTCCACTTCACCCACTTCATCCACTCATTAGTTAATTAATTAATTAATTAATTAGTGGGAAGTTAAACAAACTTCATCCACTCGTACAATTCAGGTATGACACCCGTAATTCTTCATCTTTCTTGAGAATTTAAATTTAGCCAATTTTTTTAATCTCTCTTCATGTCGGGAGGCTTTCAACTCCAGGGATTAACGCTGTCATCGTTCTCAGAAAGCGTTTAATGAAATTTATGTCCATCCTATTGTATGGAGACCAAAGCCTAACTGTATAACCTAAATGAGACCTAACAAGGCCAGGATATTGCTGAAGAATAATATTAGATGTTCAATTGCTAACACTTCTAGAAATGTATTCCAGTATCCTATTGCCTTTATTCCCTAGTTTTACGGCATGATTTTTCAGTTGTAATATACCTGCTACTAATTACTCTCACATAATCTATTCAAAGTCGCAATTTCAACATTGTCAAGCTGCTATCTGGTAATTCTATTATAATTTCCTAACCTTATAACCTTGCATCTATCAGCAAACAGCTACATCATCTGTATATCTTTCGTCAATTTTGAAAACCCCTATGCAGATCGTGTTTGTAACAATTGTGTCTTCTGAATTTATTTCTTAATCATTTTTGTTTTTAACTATCTACCTTCTTAAAAATCAGCACCACATTAGCAACCCTCCATGACTCTGGAACTCTGGTCGACTCTTAAAGATTTATTAAATATGAAAGATGAGGACTCACTAAGCTCTTATTTACATTCATTAAACACAAAGAATGCTTTGGTCTACTTCTGAGGCCTTGCTGGGCATTAATTTTTATTTTTGTTTACAATTATCTCTGGTATCCAATATATTAATCTCACTCTCTCTCTCTCTCTCTCTCTCTCTCTCTCTCTCTCTCTCTCTCTCTCTCTCTCTCTCTCTCTCTCTCTCTCTCTCTCTCTCTCTCTCTCTCTCTCTCTCTCTCTTTCTTGCTCTCTCTCTCTCTATTCATTGGTATAAATACTTACTCGTATCCAGTGGATTCTCTTCATCAGTGGGCGTCGAAGCACTGAAGCTTAACATGGGTAGAATGTGACCCCGATGCGTGCGCCCTTGATAGTTGTGGGCGTGGGTGTGGGCCTGGGTGTGGGCGTGGGTATTGGTTTGGGAGGAATCCTCCTCTCGAAGTCCATTCACGACCGTCGACATAGTGGCCTGTAAGAGAAGGAAATACTGACATCATATACTCTACAAGGACACGCCTGTAGATCGACATGTTCCTAGGACATACGTGTGACGGCTGGGACACCACATTACCGGGACATGTCTCGGTAGTGTCAGGACATAGTCCGTTCCCTGGAAACACAAACCGAAACTGTCTCTATTTTCCGCTTGTTACAACTTGTAATAAAGTTGTTACATCTTGGCTTAACGTGTTTATGGCGTATTAGAACGTTGTTACAACTCGCTATATTGGTTGTTATAACTGGTTAGGAGGTGTTAAAACTTGTTCGAACGTTGTACCAACGTCGTAGTTTCGGTGTGTGTTTGGCGGGTTGTGTGTGTGTGTGTATTCTGAAGCAGGTAATTAGAGCTGAGCATGTCGTGTTTCGGTGTTGTTAGTGATACGGCCAAGCCATTTATTCATTCCATTTTGGGGTAAAAAGATTCCCTTCACGTAAGGGAAAAAGTGTGAAGTAAAAGAAATAATATAATATTTCCTGCGGGTAATGTTGAGAAATAATTATAACTATCTTGGCTTAAAATTCTGGCTGTTGATTTGAAGAATATTTCTAATAGCACCTTGGAACAGAGTTCATTGAGAGATGAAGTTATCTCCAGCCGGACTGCAGGACAGACAGGTAAAGAGGACAGAGCCTTGAGAAGAAGAAGAAAAAGAAGAAAGAGAAAAAAAAAATTCCATGTCTCCTGGCAAAACACAAGACACTTATGATCAAGCAGAAGACGAAAGTTTTAACAGCTCCATAGTCTTCCCGGCCCGGTCTCCCTTCTTCTGATAATCACTTACCCCACCGTCCCCTCAACTTGAGAAAGATTTAATTTACGAAGATATGAGTGACCCTCTGCCTATATCTCCAACACAATTCTTGTCTTAGGTCTAACTCTTGAAAACAACAAAACAAAGTTTGGCTCCCCATGCCTAAATTTCCAAGTAATTGTTGTCTTACGTCTAAATCTCCAACAAAATTGCTGCTCTGTATCTAAATCTCCAACAAAATTGCTGCTCTGTATCTAAATCTCCAACAAAATTGCTGCTCTGTATCTAAATCTCCAACAAAATTGCTGCTCTGTATCTAAATCTCCAACAAAATTGCTGCTCTGTATCTAAATCTTCAACAAAATTGCTGCTCTGTATCTAAATCTTCAACAAAATTCTTATCGTATGCCTGAAGCCTTGAAATTAATGTATTTTAATACAATCATAACGATCTATAATAGTAATTTTATCTTAACATAGCGCATACATAATTATTTTATCTTAACATAGCGCATACATAATTATTTTATCTTAACATAGCGCATACATAATTATTTTATCTTAACATAGAACATACAATAATAATTTTTTCTTAAACATTGAACATACAATTATAATTGTATGTTAACAATCAGCATACAATCATGATTTTATCTTAACAATGAACATACAATAATAATTGTATAAGAACATCAGTAGGAGCCGTGACAAGGACTCGAACCTATGCTCTGGGTACTCGCCAAGCACACGCCTTAGACCACTAAGCCACGACATGTTCCAAAAAGAGTTGCATTCTGGGATTCAACTGAACCCTTCCAGGCTTTCACTGAAACGGAACTAGGTTCCAATCCTTTTGACGATAGATAGATATACAGATAGATAGATAGATAGATTGGTAGATGGAAGGATAGACGGATCGATAGAGGGAGAGATATATGAGTTAATGGATGGATAGATAGTTGGATAGTAACATGAAAAGATAGATGGACAGAAAGATGGATAGCTAGAGAGATGGATAGATTGATGGATGACTAGATTGATGGATAGACAGATGGGTGGATATATGGATGGATAAATAGGTAGATGAATGGATAGATAGATGGATAGTAACACTGAGAGATAGATGGATAGATAAACGGATGGATAGAGAGAGATGAATAGGTTAGATGGATGGATGGATGGATGTATTGGGAGAAAGATGATGGGATAGATGGATGGATAGCCGTATTGATGGATGGATAGAAATGCAGATATATACATACATACATGCATTCATACATACATTCATACATACATACATACATACATACATACATGCCTAAATTGTTGCATAGCCACATTAGGAGAAAAACAACAGTAAAGGAACAGGTTATGAGATTAAGGATAGGGGCGGAAGGATTCACTACAAATGACAAGGAAGTGTGTGAGGAATTGAATAAGAAATTCCAGGAGGTCTTCACCTTAGAACAAGGAGAAATTCCAGAGGTAAGTGAGGGAATAGCTAACCAGGAACCACTGGAAGAGTTTGAGATTACCAGTGGGGAAGTAAGGAAGTGTTTACTAGAGTTGGACGTGACGAAGGCTATAGGCCCAGATGGAATCTCCCCTTGGGTTCTAAAGGAAGGAGCAAGAGAACTGAGCCTACCACTCTCCATAGTGTATAACAAATCACTGGCAACAGGGGAACTGCCAGATATTTGGAAAGCAGCTAACGTAGTCCCGATATACAAGAAAGGGGATAGACAGGAGGCACTGAACTACAGGCCAGTGTCCCTAACCTGCATACCATGCAAGCTGATGGAGAAGATTGTGCGAAAAAACTAGTGGAGCATCTGGAGCGAAGGAACTTTGTAACACAGCATCAACATGGGTTCAGGGATGGCAGGTCCTGCCTCACAGGGTTACTTGAATTCTACGACCAGGCAACAAAAATAAGGCAAGAAAGAGAAGGGTGGGCAGACTGCATATTTTTGGATTGTCAGAAAGCCTTTGATACAGTGCCACACAAGAGGCTAGTGCGAAAGTTGGAGATGCAGGCTGGAGTGAGAGGGAAGGTACTCCGGTGGATAGAGGAATACCTAAGCAACAGGAGACAACGAGTCTGTGTGAGGGGTGAGGTCTCAGATTGGCGAGACGTCACAAGTGGAGTCCCGCAGGGGTCAGTCCTTGGACCTATACTGTTTCTGGTATATGTAAATGATCTCCCAGAGGGTATAGATTCGTTCCTCTCAATGTTTGCCGACGATGCAAAAATTATGAGGAGGATTGAAACAGAGGATGATAGTAGGAGGCTACAAGATGACCTGGATAGACTGAGTGAATGGTCCAACAAATGGCTGTTGAAGTTCAACCCGAGTAAATGCAAAGTAATGAAACTAGGCAGTGGAAACAGGAGGCCAGGCACAGGATACAGAATAGGAGATGAAGTACTTAATGAAACAGACAGAGAGAAAGATCTAGGAGTTGATATCACACCAAACCTGTCTCCTGAAGCCCACATAAAGAGAATAACGTCTGCGGCATATGCGAGGCTGGCTAACATCAGAACGGCGTTCAGGAACCTGTGTAAGGAATCATTCAGAATCTTGTACACCACATATGTAAGACCAATCCTGGAGTATGCGGCCCCAGCATGGAGCCCGTACCTTGTCAAGCACAAGACGAAGCTGGAAAAAGTCCAAAGGTATGCTACTAGACTAGTCCCAGAACTAAGAGGCATGAGTTATGAGGAAAGGCTGCGGGAAATGCACCTCACGACACTGGAAGACAGAAGAGTAAGGGGGGACATGATCACAACCTACAAAATCCTCAGGGGAATCGACCGGGTAAACAAGGATGAACTTTTCAACACTGGTGGGACGCGAACAAGGGGACACAGGTGGAAGCTGAGTACCCAAATGAGCCACAGAGACGTTAGAAAGAACTTTTTCAGTGTCAGAGTAGTTAGCAAATGGAATGCATTAGGAAGTGATGTGGTGGAGGCTGACTCCATTCACAGTTTCAAATGTAGATATGATAGAGCCCAATAGGCTCAGGAATCTGTACACCAGTTGATTGACGGTTGAGAGGCGGGACCAAAGAGCCAGAGCTCAACCCCCGCAAGCACAATTAGGTGAGTACAATTAGGTGAGTACATACATACATACATACATACATACATACATACATACATACATACATACATACATAGTAGTAGTAGGCATCCGTCAATCCCGTAGGCTTATGGAGCTGTGCCCTGGGAGTTTGGTTGGACGCAGCGTCTGCTGTGGCTGTCACAGCAGCGTCCTGCTGTGACTGCTGCTTCACAGTCTGCTGTGGCTGTGAAGGCCAACTCGAGAACAGCAGTCCCGACCGCAGCGAATGCAGATAATCGCCGAAGCGATTGCGTCCGTCAGTGGTCGAGAGACTTCCTCTGAACTCTCTTTTCCTCTGCCTGTCTCTTAAGTTCACTCCTCGAATTGCTGGAGTCTCCTCTGCACTTTGCATCTCCCGACAGATCTGTCCGCAGCTGCTGTCTCCCAAGTGTTGATGTCGATGTTCTGCTGTTTGAGGTCGCGTTTGTCGGCGTCTTTGAAACGCTGCTGAGGTCTGAAGGGACTCCTGTTCTCTCGAGCAATGCGTTGTTGGTGACTTCGTCTCTCCACGTGATGTCAATGATGCGTCTCAGGTTCCGCATGTGAAAGGTATTGAGCCGTCTCTCCTGGCGAGAGCGCAGGGTCCAGGATTCCGAGTCGTAGAGAAGAGTACTCACCACACATGCCATGTAGACTTGTGCCTTGGTGTGCACTGTCAGTTTGACATTTGCCCAAACGCACTTTGTGAGCCTGGCCAGTGTTGTTGCGGCCTTCCCGATATGCCTGTTGGGCTCAGTGTCCAGGGAAAGGGTGTCTGAGACTGTGGAGCCTAGGTACACAAACTCGTGGACCGCCTCCAGCTCGCAGTTTGTGATGCTTGTACAGGGGTAACTTATTGACGTCTTATCCCATCACCTGTGTCTTCTTCAGGCTGGTTGTCAGGCCGAATGCGGGACAGACTGCGGCCAAGCGGTTGAGTAGCTGCTGCAGGCCTTCTGCTGTGTGTGTGGTGATCGCTGCGTCGTCGGCGAAGAGGAACTCCCTGAGGATTCGCATCTGTACTTTCGTCTTTGCTCGGAGTCTTGATAGATTGAAGAGCTTTCCTTTAGATCTTGTATTAAGAGAGATGATCTCTGTGGTTG